GTAAATTGGACATTATGTATTAAAGAATGAGAGAGGCTCCAGATAATATATTCTGCTATGAATCTTCCCCTCTCTTGTGTCAGCCAGATAGGATGAGGGCTTTTCTCATAGTTCAGTCAGGGATTGAGATGGGCGAGCCTGGGCTGCAGGTTTAGCAAGAATGGTTTACTGGTTGCTAGGCATGGGCCTCCCGGGATTTTGATTGAAAGCCTGGAATATCTCAGCTCTGAAAGGCTCCAGGAGATCCAGCTCTGCCCATCAGCCATTACCACCTCAGCTTTCTAGCCATCCCACATGCCACCTTCCAGCTCCTTGTGCCTTCAAAATCTGGCAAATATCTTAAATGAGAGAATGGCTGGATATCTGAGGAGAGCTTGCTTCCTCTGAAATCTCTGTTTCCTGTGAGACCCCCCGGAGATTTCCTTCTGTCCATTAAAAGGCAATTGTCCATGGGGGGAAAGCTACTAGGTGTTTAAAGCCCTTCAAGTTTCCAGTTTGTCACACCAGGTCTACCTGACTCTTACAAGTGTTTTTGATTTTTTCCCCCTCCATCCTAGGCCCCCTGCTTGATCCAAGCCTGACTCTCATCTGGAATCAGAAAATGTCCCCAGAGAGGGAAAAAATGGCTGGCTGTCTTATGTGCTTTTTGGACTGGTTCTTCCTTCGTTGGCATTTTAGATTATCTAGGCTTCACTGCTTCTCTTTGATGCATTTGCAATTAAGATTTCCGTATCATCTGATTTTTGTAACTTATCTGGGTTTTTCTAGTTTTACAGCGGGGATATTTGTTTACTACATCCTACCTGGAAGTTCCTGCAGCCATATGTTTTATTGATATGTTTTGGCATAAATTTCTGAGTGATTTCTTGTTTGGATAAAGTCAATTTATTTTACTTCAGCTTTCCTAGTGTTATATGACAAAAATCCTTATTCTTTCATTCCATCAAATAAATTGAATTTCTATAAAATTAATAGAAACAAATGCTCACTTTGGATAAAGTTGAGACATCAATTAGTTCTATTAACTTTGATCTAATAAGTTTTGGTTTTTCCTGGTTAAACATAATACTGGGAGATAAGTTTTCAGTGAATGACACAAAGGGGCCTTTACACAAAAGTTACTCTGATTTATGAAGTCTTTTTTATTCATGTTCTTTTTGCTCTAAGTCTTTTGGGCCTTGTTCAAGATTGTCATCCCTAACGATGGTTCTGTATATTAATGCCAACCTGTTTTCTATTTGCCATTACATCTTTAGGGACATTTCAGTCTTCTGGAAACATCTGTGACACCAGATTTCGAATTTCCTTTTCTGATATTAGTATTAACAGTGTTAGACAAGAGGTAGATTTCAAGCTATATTTTTCTTGGGTCATGGGAGAATTCTTCTGGGCTCCACTCTTTCCTTTCTAGAACCCCCCATGGGGAAGGATTAACGTTTAGTGAACATTTAATATGGCTTTTGATGAAGAGTAGAGAGAGCACAGCACTTCATTTTTCCATTTCAACGTCATAAGTAGGAATTATCTTCCTCATTTTATAGAAGTAGAAACTGAGTCTGTAAGCAGCTGTCACAGTTACATAGCCAGACAGTTCATGTGTGTGCATGCGGGATGCTGAGAAAACATAGATGAGACTGGGTTTCCTCAACAGAAATACTCAGTTGTAAGGCATCATTAGGTCATGACTATGTTGTACGTTATTTTCCCAATATCATATAGCTAGTCAGTGGCATGGTAGAACTTGAAACCAGATTGCTGCTTCCAGGTAGAAATTTTAAAGCATATTAAGGATGCAAGAAACCAAAGGTAAAAAAATGATTTCCTAATAACATGACCTTGAGAAAGTCAACTAAATTCTGTGTCTGTTTCCTAATCTGCAAATTGTGATTTGGTTCTCCGTGATATCTGTGGATAAGATGTACATATAAAAAGTGTCACTTAATTGATCACTGAATACTTGGAAAGAAGACCCTTATTTCTGGCCAACATTAAAGTGTATTGTGTTTTCAGTTTTTCTGATTAATAATTGAATTAAATATTTCATAAGGCAATGACAACTATACTATGCTATATATCAACCTTCGTGCATGGCATTCTTAGCTAAGAAATTTCTCTACAAGTACTGATAATTGTATGGAGTACAGAATCTTGAAATCATTACTTTAGCTAGTCTATAATGGACACTTTTCATTTATATAGTACTTAAAAAATTCCTGGCTTATTGTCATCCCCTGTTTATGCCCCCATCCCTATTATATCAACCTTCGTGCATGGCATTCTTAGCTAAGAAATTTCTCTACAAGTACTGATAATTGTATGGAGTACAGAATCTTGAAATCATTACTTTAGCTAGTCTATAATGGACACTTTTCATTTATATAGTACTTAAAAAATTCCTGGCTTATTGTCATCCCCTGTTTATGCCCTTAGCAGTCTATCTAGACATATTCCTTCTGGAAACCTTTTCTGTTCTGATGGCACCCATCTCTTTTGCATGGGTGGCTCCTGAAGCAAAAGTGCCTCTCCTCTATTTGGGTCCTATATTGCCAGCTTCTCATGGGACATCATCTCAACACCCCCGGCCCAAAATACAGGAAAGGAAACAATCCTCTGAAACTAGCTCCCTGTTTCTATCGATGGAACAATCATTACTGATTCCTGAGCTAGAAACCTTGATATAACCTTTCTCTACTTTGTGTTCAGTATGTATTCTTTACAAAGCTTTGTTTCCTTCTTTCAGATGTTACCTAGATTCATCCTTTCTGGTCCATTTCTCTTGCTCCCAGGCAGACTCTTACCTATTTAACTAAGATACTTGCTATGGTTTTCAACACATTTCCCAACTGCAGACTGACTCCACCCAAACCAACTTCATTGCCTCAGTTTAGGTCCTCACTTCTCTTACTGCAAGTTTTGTCACAGCTGCCTAATGCCTCCCTGTCTTACATCTCTTCATCATTGGTTCTGTTTTCTACACTGCTATAGGAGTTACCTCTCTAGAGCACAAAGTTAATTCTGGAGGCAAATGAATAACACAATCAAGCCCAACTCCTTGGCATAGCATCTAGGGGATTTCATGCTCTGTGCACAACCTATTCCATGGGTATGTGGGTGCCACTGTGACAGGCACTGGGCACCAGCATAAGGCCTAGATCCAGCCCTAGAACAGTCCAGCACCTGCTCGCTTCTCCACATGTACCTTTGCATGCATGGAGCCCACCGGGCTAGTCTCCAGTAATGCTGACCAACTTCTCAATATATATATTCCCTCTACCCATATTCTTTCAGACTTCTGCTAGAAAGTCCTACCTTTTATCAATGTCTCCTTCATCACTTGGTGTAGGTGTACCTCTCCCAGGAAGCTCCCCACAACCACCCTCCAAACTGGATGGGGGACTCCTCTGGACCTAGCTCCGTTGGAACAGTGATGGCACTCTGTCGCAGTCTTCCCTTTATTTGACTAACTCCCCAAATAACTTCTGAGCCCACCGAACACCAGGGCCACATGTTATGCATTTCTGCATCTCTAGGACTGAGCACAGTGTCGGGTCCCAGTCTCGGCTGATGCACATCTACATGCTGTTTCATCACGTCAGCATCCTCTTCAAGAACTTATAGTGTCTCTTGGTTGCCTGTTCTATCAAATGAGTCATCTGGCTTTTGAGATGCTTTGGAGATATGACTTTTCTGTATACATCCAAGTAGATTTCTACATATCCGCTCACAGCAAGTGCGACTCTTCTTTTCTTCTCCAACTTCCGAGCCATTCTCACTTCTGGTTTTAATTCTCCTGCTCTACACATTTAGGTACTTTGCCTCCTGACCTTGCCACTTACCCAAATCCCACCTGTCTTAAGGCTAGACGCAAGGGTTGACTTCATTGTGAAGCCCTCTCTGCCTGTTGTATGCCACATGGATTGCCTACTTCTTGGACATGTGTTCTCCTATTCAGTTTGTGTGTGAGGACCCAGCATATGGAGGCTGGGTCTGAGAATTATTAGTTCACCCTTGCTATTGAGTTTACTGACAGGCACCTATAAAAAGGCCTGTAAATATTCATCTTGGTAGATAAGGACTTAAAATGGAGTCTTTGGCTATGAACAGCTGGCCTTTGGGAATAAGAGGGAGACTTCTTGTGTGATTGATGCAACAGACATCTCAACTTAAATGTCCAAAAACCAACTCTGATCCCCTCATCTCAGTTAATGGCAAATCCTGTCAGCTCTGCATTTGAAATATGCAGAAGATCTCCAGAATCTGATCCCTCCTCATCCTCTACCCTGTCATCGGTCCAAGCCACCACCTTGGCTAGACTGCCACACAGTCTCTTAAGAGACTCCCTACTTCTGCCCTGTCCCCTGCTGTCTGATCTCAAAAGAGCAGAGAATCATTGAGGCACATTAAACTCTTCTCTAACGTGTCAGCTCCAACAGGACAGGTTTTGTTTTGTTGTGTTCACTGCTGTCTCCCCAGCATCTAAAACAGGGTCTGGCACGTGGACGTTGCTTTTGAATGAACTGCAATTGTTCTGTGGTTATCAACCTACTGGCTGAGTGTGCCTGATGTCTTTTCATGGGAGTGTATCATAATAGGATAAAAGCAGTGGGAAAAGTCCAATTGTTGGAGTCAGTGATGTCCTTTGGGACTTTCTTTCAACTTGATTAAGTCAAAGAACCTTCTCTGCAAATGAGAGCATGGCACTAAGATGAAAGACATGAGCATGGCTTCCTAACCTCGGCACCTGCCAGAGGTGGAACCCCGTGAGCTCACTCTCTGACCACTAACCAGACACTGCTCACCTTTCTATGAAAACCTGAGAATTCTAGGTCTTAGGGATGTTACCGACTCTGCACATGTGTGTTCAAACATTTGCTTCCCAGCTCCCACACCCTTGCTTTCTTCCCAAGAATACCTCTAGGTGCATCAGAAGAAATGCAAAAACACTAAATATATTTGTAACTGAAAAGTATACCCTTGATGGTATTTTTCAGATTACTCACCACTGTCAATTGCCAGGAAGAGGGCAGTGTACACGCTATTGTGGACGAAGGGGGACTCACGGTCCAGCACAGCTGTGGTGTCAACAGTCCCATTGATGGGGTTAATATTCAGCCAGCCTGCTGGGTCCTTGTAAACAGAATACCTGAAAGAAAAAATCCCAAACAACATCAGAGTGCATTCAAGTTAGATTCAAGAATGTTTTACTGAGTGTGGGGCAAAGATTCCTATTGTAGGTGCTGGATCATGCTTAACACAAATCCAAAAACATCATTTCAGTTATGCCTGCTTATCAGGAAGTAGTGCTGAACACCAGCTCAACCTACTGTGTGCTAAGCATTTGCACATATGTTCCTATTGTAGGTGCTGGATCATGCTTAACACAAATCCAAAAACATCATTTCAGTTATGCCTCCTTATCAGGAAGTAGTGCTGAACACCAGCTCAACCTACTGTGTGCTAAGCATTTGCACATATGCCTCCTTTATTCCTCATGACAACGTACGAAAGGGCTGCCCAGCTCTCACAGAAGCAAAGCAGAATTCATAGCCCCTCTCCTGAGTCCAAGTCCAGTCTTGTTTCTTTTACACGTTGGATGAACCATCTGCACACTGTTGTAAAGGTACAAGCAGGACCCATTGACACTTGGAGGAAAAAGTCATTACTTCTGATTGAGGGTGACCCTGGGGACCTCATGGAGGATGCAGCATTTGAACTAAGACGGTAGGAAAGGGTAGGATGTTGTCAGAGAATGAGAAGACAGACAGGTCAGGAACAGAGAACAATATGAGTTGACACACAGAACAGAGACATGCATTAGGATGTACATTCCACGGGGGCAAGGATATTTGTTCATTCACTTCCATGATCCCAGCACCCAGAACATTGCTTAGCACATACACAACACTCAACAGATACTTGCTGATTGAATGAATATTTAGGGATTAGAAGGTTGACAGTTGTAGATGGAATGTAGTTTCTTTGGGGAAACTCAAAGTAAATGAATTTGGAGAAACAAATTAGACCAGATTATAAAGAACCTACTTTTGAAAGGGGTTTGGACTCTGGACAACAGGAAACTATCAAAGAATTTAAAAGTACCTATTTTTTTAGGTTGTTGTAAAAGTAATAGGTGCTCTTTGTAAGAAGTTCAAACAGTATTACAATGCATATAGTAAGAAATGAGTCTTATTTGTCAGGAGACTCAAACTGAGCATGGGTCAGATTTCTTTCAACTGGGTGGCCTGGGTAATGTGCCACTTCCACACCTAAGCCAGAAAGGTGCTTGTTGGTGCTTTCCTGCCCAACCCCACCAATTTTTGAAATATATGCCCCTGAGGAGACATGAACACCAGTAGCTCATCAGTCTGGTAAAGGTGCTTAAAGTTGGTCATCTCTGCCTTGTATGACCAGCTCTGGTTCTAAGGATATTTAAAACCCGATTTAACCAACAGGATTGCACATCTCCAAGTGAAGAGCTTGGAGCAAATTAGCACCCTAATCTTCACAGTGGAGAAGATATCCATGTCCTAATCCTGGAACCTGTGAATGTTACTTGATATGGCAAAGCCTTTGAAGATCTGATTAAGTTAAGGATTTTGAGATGGGGAGATTATTTTGGATTACTTGGGGTTGGGGGTTGGGGGCCTAAATGTGATCACAAATGTCCTTATAAGAGGTAGGCAGAGAGTGATTTTAGAGACACACAGAAGGGGAAGCCTGTACAACCATGGAGGCCAGAGATTGGAGTAATGTGGCCACAGCCAAGGAATGCTGCAGACACCAGATGCTGGAAGAGGCAAGGAACAGACCCCCCCTCCCCAGAGCCACCAGAGGGAGCGCAGCCCTGCTGACACCTGGATTTTGACCCTGTAAGACTGATTTTGGACTTCTGGCCTGTGGGAAGAATAAATTTCTAGCCACCAAGTTTGTGTAATTTGCTACAGTGGCACTACTAAATGATTACAGTAGGTGCAACATCCCCACTTACAGATGAAGACACTGAGGCAAAAACCTCACAGCTACTGAAGTCACAGAGTCAGGATGTGGGCCCACATGTCCTGATCCAGAGCCTCTGTTCTGGACCCCCACGTTATGCCACTTCCCAGCTAACTTCCCATCACCTTTCTCAGGGTGGGTGGTCAGACGACACTTTTTTCCCCTAAGTATCTTGTTTTGAAGAAGATATGGAATTTGAGGATAGAATTAGGATGAATCTAAGTGTGATGGGTTGGATTATTCACATGTGGGTGAAATTGAGGGGCTGTCCACTTACATGTGGCCAAGGAGAGCAGGAACCACCCAGGCTACCCGTGCATGACTTGGAGGCAATCTCAGGGTGGCAACATGATTGTAACCAGGGGAGGCTGTGGTCACTGATAGAAGGGATGATCAACGTGGTCCATCAAAGGAAATGGGCCTCCTGGTGCTTCACGACAGGCAGCACGTCATCCACGGCCGTAACTTGACCACCAACCGGAAGACCTTCTGCTCCCTCCCAACTTCTCCCGCAGCCTCCGTGTCAGCCCTCTGGAGGTCTTTGGGCTTCCAGTAGCATTGACAGACCCTCAGACATAGCAGCATTGTCATTTTGATTCACAGAGCAGCATCTGGTTTTGTATGAATCCATTTCGCTTTGGAGTCATGTGAACTGACCCAAGAATCAAACTGAGTTTTTGTCCTGCAAAGTAGCTGCTCCAGACCTGGGACTGCAGAATGACACCAGGGGGTGGCCCCTGCTGAGCTTTCTGGAAGGTGTTGGTCTTGTCCTTCCTACAGCAGCCTCATAGTGCTCTGCCCACTTTCTCACGACAGCATCAACAGCAGCGACGTCCAGTTACCCTGAGTGGTGACACATGCCAAGTGCTATTCTCAGTGCTTCTAGGCCAACCCTCTGAGGTTGATAACGACAGTATTATCCTTCCCCTTTTACAGAGGAGGAACTGAGTGGCCTAGAGAGATAATAGCTCTGCCAAGGTCTGCCATGGCTCCATCCAGGGCCATGCTGGGATTCAACCCCTGACTGTCTGGGGTGGAGCCCTGCTCCCAGCTTGTCCACTTCATCAGCCCGAGTGACACACCAGATACACCGCCAGCACCATGTAGGAGGGGAAGCTTGGACTCTGGGCTCTAGCTGTGTGAACCTGGACCAGCTACTCTCTCTGTTTCCACTTACACCTCTGTGAGTTGGGGACAATCCCAGAGATCTCATGGGTGGCTGCAAGGGATGATGTGACGTGCTCGGCCTGTGCGGGGCGCCCACGAGGGGCGCTGGCATCAGAGTCAGGCCGTGGACATGTCAGTGGATCACCAGGGCTAGGCTCCAGTGTGTCCCTTTGTTATGGGATCCATGCCATGCCCAGGAATGTTTTGGAAATATACCACTTGGCAGAGCTGGGGGCACAGTGTTCTGAGGCTGCGACGGGATGGGGAACAGATGGAGATAAGGAGGGAAGCTGACACAGAGCCCCCTACACGCTCCTGCCACCCCATGATCATTTCAGTGTTTCTTGAAAACGGAAGAGATGTATTACTCATGAGAATGAGCTGCTTTAAAAACACCAGTCTTTTGACTAAATAGTAATTTATGCTTCCACCTGGCAAACTCCTACTGTTTTTCAAGACCCCCCTCAAACGTCTCCCCCCGGTCACTCTGTGTGACCCCAGTTGGAATGAATCACCCTCCACTAGGTCCTTGGTGGGCACCTGCATGGGCTGAAATGCCTGTGAGACCATAATACGGGCCCTTCCGGGTCTGCAGCCTTCACCAAACTCTAAGCTCCTGGTGTCAGGATGAGGTGAAAGTTGGCGAAAGTAGCAAAGAATGCTTAATTGTGCCCAGCTCTGTGCTGATACCTTATGGGCATCACATTTATTTTTGTGATTCACAATAACCTGATGAAGTGGATAGTTTGCTTGTTTTAAAGATGAAGTAACCAAGAATCAGGGAGGCTTAGCAACTTGCCAAAAGCAGCACAGCTAAGAAGTGGCAGAGCTGGAATTTAACACAGATATGCCGGATTCCAGGGGCTGGGCTTTAACCAATACGCAGCCTGTTGCTTGTGCCTAAGACCAGGTACTGTTTCTCCTGCATCCCCAGGGCCGAACAGAGTGCCTGGTACACAGTGGGCGCCCAGTGAACGTTTATCACACCTTTCTCTTTCAGTTGGAACAATCATGGAAATGGAAAATGCAAAGGAAGGTAACATTTGTTTCCCATCTTATCAGGAACGTAGTTGATCAAATTCACAGTTGACCCAGGAGTGATGTGCAGTGGTTCAACATATTTAAAATAATGAAAGCGTTAAATGGACTGTATTTCATTCCTTGATCACTCAACTCACTTTAGAACATAAATAAAAACTGAATTAATCTAGCTTTTCACACTGGCATGCAAGCAATGCTCTTTGTTTCTCCTTTTGTCATTATTTTTGTCTTTTGATACCACAATTTTGCAGTACAATTAACATGTCTGCTGTTTTCTTGTAGAAAGAGTGGTCATATTCAGTGAAGTGCTTAGAGACAGGAGCTTGGAATTTGTCCTCTGAAAGCAATACCCAGCACAGTTAGGCCTGATGGAAGCCAGGGCTTGGGGGGTTTTGCAGGATAGCATTTCACTATTTCTCTTCCTTAAAAAATAATCGGGTACCCATAGCAGTGCTGTTTAATTGCACTATTTGTTTATTTTATTTGGTGCCTCTTCCCACTGAAGACCTTACATAGGTCTGCCTGTATCACAGATGCCTTGGTGCCCAGCTTGCGGCTCCCACTCAGTATCACACCCACAGACGGGGAAGGGTGGATGCTCCATTTGGCTGTCACTCTGCCAGTGTAACCCAGACCAAGCTGTGGTGAGGAGACACTGGATGGCAGGTGTGATCCTCCCCAATCCAGAGGGCAGAGCAGCTTGAGGCCCCCAGCCAGCTCTTTTGCTTCCTAGCATTTGAGCACTTTTGTCACATCAGCCTTTTTGACCAATTGGCCAAGCATGCCATGTAAATTTCTGACATTTTCAAAGCTGTCTTTTTAATAAACCTTTCAGTGTAGAAATACCAGCGTGCAAGATGTTTTCTGTGCTTCTAGGCCTGAAAAATGCATATGCCTTATTAAATTGGAATTTCCGGGCAATTTATCTGTAATGTGAAC